ATCATTTAAATTATGTGGAAATAAAAAGGGAAAGTGACACTGGAGCATTTTCTTCAGTCCATCTGTTCTGAAGGATTGTTACTTGAGACAACAGTTTCTATGCTTTATGAAAACACAATTACCTTTGCTCTCTACTTAACTGCTGGCAAATTTAGCTTCTGCCCTTGCCTGATTAACCAGAGACTATATTCAGTACTCTGAATTACTTTTAGTAAATAATTTAGTAAGCTTTCTTTTACATGATTAGATCATTTAAGAGCTCTTTACAGATTCAGTTCCTTACTTCATTAAGTTGACCTGCCCCCCAAATAAACCCTGAGTTTTGTAGGAAAAGATAAAGACTTCTACATTCCAAGAAACCTCTTTGATTACAGAATTATACATATACTTTGAGAAAATAACCTTTATTTTGTTCTTTATTATCTCGAATTACGCTTTTGTAACTTGCAAATTAAGCAGACCACCGGGACTGGCTCTCACTGGTGAGGGGAAAACATGATTCCCCCTCCATGGTGAGACTAAACAACTTAGTAACATTTCTTCTTGAAACCATGTACGTATATGCGTTTGACGCTATTTTCATCAAGGAAATTTCTCCAGAACTGCCAGTATTCCCTCTTTCAATTTTGATTATTTCAACTGGGGAGAGCCGGGCCAAGAGAAGAGGAGGGGAGGGGGAGAAGGGGAGGAGGGGCAAGAGGAGGAGAGCGAGAGGGGAGGACCTTCGAGCAAAGAAGAAAGAAAGCGAAGAAAAGAAGATCCACAGAAGACTGCTGCAGAGTTAAGCCCTCAGGAGAAAGAGAGGCCTGGAGACCAGGGATGGAAATGGAGGCGGTAAATGCCACTCTCGGAAATAGTCCATTAGAAAGCGGGGAGGCTTTCCCTCCTCTTCTGCAACTGCCAGGAGGCTTCTCTATCCTGACTGAAACAGCGCTGCCACCGTCTCCCCCAGGGCATCAGCTTCTTTCCAACAGAAGGTCTTTTCAGAGCACTGGATGGAGGGCAGGGGGCCTGGGCAGGAAGCAGGTAAGGAACCGCAAGCGACTGGGCAGGTGACCACAAAGCATGTGTGGAGCCTCTGGAGCCACAGTATAGGGATTCCTGCTTTGGCAAAGATAAACACTGAGGACTGCGGAGACTGCGAGCCCCAACCGGCCCGGTTCGTGCAATGACGCTTTCTCCTGGGGTTGACTCAGAGTTCTGAATTCCTTCTTCTGGGTCTCTCCTCAGCCTTGATTCAAACAAGTAGTCAGAGAAGTGCATCAAGCACACCTCCAGGTACATGGCAACCCAGAAGCAGGTGCCTGCTGATATTTTTCACTATAACAGGAGAGAAATCCAGGACATCCTTTTTAATGAGAAAAAGCTGGCAACCTTTCCTCTTTAGGAACAAGCAAGTACGACTACTGGTAAGGCTTTGCGCATGCCCGTACACTCCGCTCTAGTCCTCTCAGTAAAAAACAGACATTCCTGGCTCTCCCCAGAGTTCCCGGGCTGCTTATAAATTCTACTCCTACTTCAAGGCCCTGTTCTAAGCTACCTCTTCCAAGAAGGTTTCCTCAAGTTTCTAATCAGGGCCCCGCACTTCTACAGCAGGTATAAGTCATTCACACAAAGTCCTCATCGTTTACTCTCAAAGAAAACTAGTTATGGGCAGTCTTCCTAGCCACACTTGATTCCTAGACTCCTGATGGGAGAGGGGCTGTATTTTGATTTTTTTGAAATCCCTTTGAGATCTTGGAGTACCGGGCATTCAACTGCCATTTTTTTGAGGGGCCAAATTTGGAGTTATCATAGAAGACAAATCTTTTAGATTCGAGTACTTGTAGCAGCCCTCATTAGTAAGTTCTTTTTGCTATCACTTTTTAAATGAGCTGCTGCACCAAACAGTGCTCAGAAAGTGTTTAAGCAAATTGGATTTCTACTGAAAAATGTAAGAGATCCAAATGGAATGAGACAACATTTGCTGTTCTTACCATCATTTCCATAGGCACACATCCCCAATCACAAGACTTGCAAAGATGAAGGCTTTGAAAAATTAGCTTCTCCTCTACTGCTCTAACTACACTCAGGTGACAGACAGCAAGTGAGCATCAGCACATATCAAGATGTCTCAGAAAGAATAGATTTGAGTTGAGTCCTACTATACTCTCATTCGATTGGGTAACATGTTTTTCAACCTTCTGAATCTGTACCACCATCTTGAGAGACATAAAATATCACACAGGCTCAGTTGGTTAAGTGTCTGACTCTTGGTTTCTGCTCAGGTCATGATCTCAGGGTTGTGAGATCAAGCCCCACTGAGGGCTCCATGCTCGGCAGGAGAGTCTGCTTGCGATTCTCACTCCCTCTCCTTCTGCAACCCCCCTAAAATAAATAAATAAATCTTAAAAATAAAAATTACACCCTTCTATGATATTTGGATTGTTAGTAACCCAACATAAAATTATAAGCCTCTGCTCTTTTGCACATGGAACTATAGATTTCGATACATAGCCCATCAAATTCCTCAAACCAGAACCTCAACTATATCTCCCCTCATGCAGTTCCACTGCTTTATGGTTTTAAATAATTCTAGGGCACTGAGGAAATAGCTATCTATAATCTCAATCAACAAATCTTAAAGTCTGGGGCACCTGGGTGGCTCAGTCGGTCGAGCGTCTGCCTCTGGCTCAGGTCATGACCCCAGAGGCCCTGGATCGAGCCCCGGGTCGGGCTCCCTGCTCAACAGAGAGCCTGTTTCTCCCTCTGCCCCTCACCACACTCGTGCTCTCTCTCTCTCTCTCTGAAATAAATAAAATCTTAAAAAAAATATCTTAAAGTCCATCCTGCAGTTAAGAGAAAGATGTAAAAGCACTCTGGAGGAATATGTAAGAAGAAAACAAAATCAAAAGCAAGGCTCAGAAACAGCCAGCAGATGACATGGCCTTCTACGGTCCCAAACAAAATATCCCATAATTTCTCCCCATTGGAAACATCTTCCTAAGAACTGGGGTTACTGATTAAACTAGAACTGAATAAAGGGCAAACCTACAAATTTAGGAGAAAGAGACCTACAGAGGTTAAACACCAGAAAATAAAGTCTTTCTTCTCTCTCATAAAACACGCTATCCCTGCCCTCCTTACCCTTACAAAAATAAATGAAATCTTAAAAAACAAAGTTTTGCTCAAAGAAAGAAAACAAACTGCTTAGAGGTCTCAAGATACAAAGAACCATTTGGACAGATCCATGCTAAGGACTTTCAATCTGACTCTAACAGAATCTGCACAGTGGAAGTCCAAACTCCATCTCAGAAGGAAAAACCTGTTAACTATACGAACACTTCCATTTGTCTTAATTTCGTCCTTTATCTTGGCATTGTTTTTCACAATTCATCAGTGTGATGGAGCAAATGGTACTCAGCAGCAGCCAGAGCACATCATCCTACTGCAGCAGGCTGACAAGAACATCAGCCGCTGAAAGGAGCTGCGGCAGAGGTGGGCAGTCAAAGAAGCCTGGGATGGTCTAAGGCCAAGGCCACAGGGCAAACATGACAAGCAGAGACAACCTCATTACCTGTTGTCCAAATCCCTCCTCCAGGGTAGGTCAGAGTAATCCTTTTCTCTACCACTGGTCAAAGAAAGACACACGTTTTTCAAAGACACCTTATACTTGGCTTAACCCAAAACCCCACTGTGTGTGAAGGCCCTCTGGGTGCCTGCCCATTACATCATATCAGGTCAGGCTGACCCTGAAGCTCTTAGCAGGAGGGAGGGGTACGGGATTTCAGAACACCAAGGAAACCCATTTCTTCCTTAATATGGGCATAAAAAATATGGAGGCGGGAAGGTGGGAGGCAGGAATCTGTGAGATATGAAGCAAGCCGACTGAAGCAGTCAACAGCCCAAGTATTCAGTCAGGTTAAATCACGGTTTTGATGCTTTCTTGAACCTGAGCTGGGGAAGAAAAGTTATGCTTGCCCCCTCCCTTTCTCCCAGCAACTCTCTAGATGTGGCTGCAAGAGGACACACCCCCTGCCAACCTACAAGCCTCCATCTAATTAGGCGTGATCTTCCCCATCCCTCGGCGTCCACCCCTAACCCAAAGCTCTGGGAACGCCCAGGCAGCGCAGCTCCTTCCTCGTCCCCTCCTGATGCGCCTCCCCAGCCCTAAACCCCTCAAGGAGATCACAGCCACGTCCCTGGCACCTCCAGCCCCTGGCTGACTATGTCACTAGAACCCTAGCCCTCAACGCCCTTTCGCCTTCTGCCCCCCGCCACTCCGCAGCCCCTCGTCAAACCCGCCGCAGTCGGCCGCAGGCCCCTGGCAGGGGAGGCCCCGCACGGCCCTGTTCGCGGCGCCCCCCTCTTCCCGGGCCGGGTCCACGCGTCCGCCCCACCCGGACGGAGCTGCAGCTCCTTCGGGCCTAGTCAAGGACACCGCCTCCGCCCAGCCTTCACCCCGCCCGGCGCCGCAGCAGCCCAGCTCTCCTCCTCGCGGGGCACTCACCCAAATGTGACCGGGCGGTGGCCGTGGAAAAGAGTGAGGCACGAAAGGCCAATACGCGGCGCCTCCCCTCCGCCACCAGCTTTATAGCTGCCGACCCACCCGACTCCGGCACGGCCGGGAGTCGGTGGGAGGCTGGACACGGGTTCCAGCAGCCAATCGCGGCCCGCAGAGTAGTCCGGCAGCGCCCGCCCCCTGGTCCGGCTTCTACCAATCCGAAGAAAACTAGAGGCGGGCTCTTGCTAGGGTTTTCCCTCGTGGCTGGAAGGGCGGGCGAAGGGGCGGGGACAAAGTTGGAGGGCCGAGGAAGTGGGGTGAGAGAGTGACGTGGGGTGGCCCGAGAGCCGGCCTGCCAATTACAGAGCGGCGAGAGACAGCGAGAGCCAACGGGAACGGAGTGAGAGCTTCTCCGACCAATTGGAGTTTAGTGAGAGGAGACGGGAGCCAATGAGGTCTCCGCGTCCCACCACTGGGGAGAGATGGTCAAGTGTGGGAGGCAAGTTGGTCCCCACTTTGCGAGTCTGTCAGGTTGCCTAGCAACAGAGCTGGGCTTCACCTGTGAGATTTCTGCAATACTTCGTTTGAATTCAATCTTAACGTCTTCTAATTTCCAGAGCAGCCAAACGCGCCTGCATGACAAGTTTGAGCAGGATGTCACTCAGAATTTGTAAATGTGTAAGTATTCTAAACACCCGATTTATAAATGCCTAATACCTCTATTCAAAACTACCTTGACTTTTTAAGAGACTGCTATTGGGACAATTCTTCCTAAGTAAGCTGGAAACAAGATAGTTTGGGGTTAGACACACCAGTGAGGACAGTAAGGGGCCTTGCCTGAGCAGGGAAATTGATCCTGATTCTAGGAGTTTTACTAGCTCATGCACTCTGAAGGAAGGGGCTCCATCTGGCCCCAGTGTATCTTCTGAGCTAGATTATGTGGTAGGTGCCAAATTGTTGAAAGCAGTAGGGGCCCCATAATTGTTGGTACAGCAAATCCATAGGATATAAACTGCCTAGCTCCCCCAGAAAATAGAGAGGAGCAAGTTGGAGGAAATCACTGGAACACCGTGAGAATCCAAAGGAGGACAATTATGGCTTTAAATTAGACTCTACCTCATCTCCTCCTCAGATCGAGAAACTGTAAAATTTAGCTTTGATGGGGGAACCGTGAGAGATTCAGAGTTGTTTATATCTCTCTCCCTCTGTTTTATTGAGACCCAGGAATGCTGTTGATAAGAGGCCATTGATGATTCTGTGCATCACACAACTACCGTAATAGGAAATTTATTATCCACCATAGATACTAACCTAGTAAGGACATTCTCAGCAGCAAAGTGGCAAAATATATTGGCAGTGGAACCGCTGTGAGGTGGTGGCATAAGTTACTCATGGGAACAGACCACTCAATGGTTATCACTCCGTAGTATTATTGCCCGTTTCAGACTCTCATAAAGTAACTGGTGATAAAGAGAGAGGAAAATTGCCTGGTTGTGACCATCAGTAATTGTGAGGGGGGGAATTAAACATTCTTGGCATATTAGAATGTACTGAAAGGCATTGAGGACAAACACAAGAAAGTAGATACAGCTTTGTCCTTAGAAAGGGATAGCAAATGGTACCAACTCCAGGAGTTCATAGTAGGAAATGATAGCCAGATAGCTGTGGGGATGATCATCTTGAACAGAAAAAAAGTCCCACAAGGCACAGATTGTCTTTTTGATCAAATTAATCTTCAATTAAGCAAAGTGAACATGGTACTGGGAAGCTAAGCAATGAACAATGAAATGGGTTAATAATTAGATGTAGAGCATCTCAATTGAATTTTTAAGAACAAGCCTCTGAGATTCTGTGGAATATAATAGCAGATGATACCAGGCTACGGAAATATTAGCTATGGCCCATGCAAATGAGGACAAAATATACATATATTTATTTTTGAAGGGGCTGCAAGTTTTTTGAGCCACAATTTTACACAAGCACAGTGGAGTCAATGTCATACTAGAATGTGCATATTAAGATCTTTGTTTTATTATAGTTTCTAAATTTAATGCTAAGTCATGTTGGTCATGCACTATAGATGCTATACATCAAAGGCAAAATATAGTTTATTGTTCTGCCCTACTTTGAAAGGAACAAGTTTCTTAAGAGGCAGGAAGACATAATGATAACATTTTGTATTATAAGTTCATCCACTGAACATTTATGTTTTACTTAACTCTGTGGCAGGGATTGTGCTAGACCCCTGCTGTCCAATGACAAGCATTAGTTACATGTGGCTCTTGAGTACTTGAAAGGTGGCTAGTGCAAAGTGAGATGAGATATAAGTGTAAAACACATACCACATTTTAAAGACTTAGTACAGGGGCGCCTGGGTGGCTCAGTCGTTAAGCGTCTGCCTTCGGCTCAAGTCATGATCCCAGGGTCCTGGGATTGAGCCCTGCATCGGGCTCCCTGCTCCGCAGGAAGCCTGCTTCTCCCTCTCCCACTCCCCCTGCTTGTGTTCCCTCTCTCGCTGTGTCTCTTTCTAATAAATAAATAAAATCTTTGAAAAAAAATAAAGACTTAGTACAAAAACAGGAAATATCACCTTCATTATTTTTATATTGATATATGTTATAATGATAATATTTTGATTATATGGGGTTAAATAAAATATAATACTAAAACTAATTTCATCTGTTTTAGTGTAGCTGCTAAGAAATGTAAAATTTTATATGGGCTCCCATTCGTGGCTCCCATTTGTGCTAGACAGTGAGAAGACACAATGAAAGACTCTTTCCTCAAAGAGTTCATAGTCTAAAGAATGGAAAAGAGAAAAGTAAATACAGCAAAAGGCTGGGTTTCCAGCCTTTTTCTCACTAGGTAAAGAGTAGGAAAGAGTGGAGTAGGAGGTAAAAGGAATGTTAATAGAACAGCATCTGATATTTTTTCCTTACCGCTTGGAGGGAAAGGAGTGAGTTCAATGGAGTGTGATCCTGAGGTTAATCTCCTTCTCACTTGTCAACATTTGTAATAAGAGTTTCCCGAGTATCAGCTGTTTTTCAGGGATGGTAGTATGTGTCTTGTATACACTGTCCCTCCAGTTTACCACTGGGGAAACTGAAGTGCAGGGAGGTTAGTTGACTTGTTTCAAGTTACTCAGTTACGAAGTAGAAAAGATGAATTCATATCCAGGTCTTGTGATGTCAAAACCCATGTTCCTTCTACTATTCTATATACAAAAACACGGTTGTGTTCAAAAAAGGTAGACTGGGGTGGGTGGTAGATGTTGAGTAAAGGAAGGTAAGTAACTTCTCCCGAGAGGCGTCAGAGGACAGCACTTACTAGCCTGGGGACTCTTACCATACAACAGTTTGGTGCCTGGCTCATGGGCTCCGCAGACTTCTTTCATCAGCTTGCTAAGAACAAGTCCATCTCTGAGGGTTGCACTACACTCACCAAGTTTATGATGCATAAAATCAGAATGCCCCTTTACTATTTATACTACAAAAGGGACCACAGCCTTTGAAGTCTACATGACTCACCCTCTAGGTTAACCACATGGGAAGTCATGTCATCCTCAGAACATTGATTGGTAAACATGGAATTGGGAAGAAAATTAGAAACACAGTTCTTTCAAGCTCTTCTTCTCATCAGGTTAAGATAACATTATGTATCCATTTTTCAATAGGATGGTCTTCCCAACAGGAGATCTGCCAAGGCCATGAAACTACCAATGAACTTCACCCATGCCACCTTAAGACTGGCTTTGCCATTGACTCAAAAATACTTAAAATCCACTCCTAATCTCTTTTTTCTGTGACCCATCCTTAATTGGACACCGTTTGCATTTGTATCTATCTCCTTTTTTATGAGTCCATGGCTGACCATCTCTACTTCCCCTGTCTGTTCTCTAAACAAGTCAGTACAGTCAATCAGATTAAAGTCTAGTCCTAACTGCCTGAGCAACATTTGGTTTATTTTTTTTAAAGATTTTATTTATTTATTTGAGAGAGAGAGCACATGAGAGGGGGGAAGGTCAGAGGGAGAAGCAGACTCCCTGCCAAGCAGGGAGCCCGATGCGGGACTCGATCCCAGGACTCCAGGATCATGACCTGAGCCGAAGGCAGTCGCTTAACCAACCGAGCCACCCAGGCACCGAACATTCGGTTTCTTTAAAGTGACTTTTATTTTTTATCTCTGCTTCAGTGTGCGTCAACTTTTTAAAGCTTATTCTTTAGCAGATGACCCTGCTTCCAGGGCCTTAGAGGACACCTCACAGAAGACTCCACATCCTGAAAGAACGCTCTGCCTTCACTCTCCCTCACAGCAGTGTATGGAAGGAATGTATTAAGACAGTGCCCAGGGCGCCTGGGTGGCTCAGTCGTTAAGCGTCTGCCTTCAGCTCAGGTCGTGATCCCAGGGTCCTGGGATCGAGTCCCACATCAGGCTCCCTGCTCAGGGGGGGCCTGCTTCTCCCTCTCCCACTCCCCCTGCTTGTGTCCCTGCTCTCGCGCTCTCTCTCTCTCTCTCTGTCAAATAAATAAATAAAATCTTAAAAAAAAAAAAAAAGACAGTGCCCAGCCCACAAATAGCCTGAGTAATGCAATGTGGTTACAAGTGAGTAATCCTAGATTTGGAGCACACAGCAGGCATGAACACTGAGGCCCAAAGCTGAGAAGTGAAGAGACACTAAATACTTCACACTGTAAAGAGCCATACGGAAGCCAGTTTCATTCCTACAAAGGGCTTTTGAATTGGGGAAAGAAAAACCTTTCTACCATTAACCACCACCTGCCCTCACCACCATGGGGTGGTGAGGGTAGGAAGAGAGGGAGGTCAAGAGACATCAGTCCCGGGAGGAGTTTGGGATTCTAGGAAGTGGACAATATCTTCTTGCCCTCTGGAGGAAGGGTGGTTCTCTCTCCATTACTACCAGGTTAAATCAAAATTTCGAGTTCACAAGAAGAGGAGACTGGCATTCCCCTCTCCCACTGCCTGACTGCTGAGCTGTAGAGCCTAAAGTCCTGTTCCACTGCTGCCTTAGGAACACTTTGGGGGAAGGAGGAACAAGTCCTGGAAGAATTTTACATATATCCCGGGGGAGGGGAGGAGCACATTAAATATAAAGATTAGGGTCTGCTATTGGTCCGTAGATTTTTGAAAGAAAACATGTTGGGCCCGTTGCATGAGGTCGCATGAGGAAGTGCCTGGGAAGAAGACAGGACCACCCCTATCCTGACACTACAACAATAAGGGAGTATGAAAGAGAGCCTCAGAGGTTCCCACAGCTCCATGTAAAGGTGTTCATAATACACAAGAAGCAAGAGCTCTGTGGCTGCTGTGTACCCATCTTGCCATGGTTTCGCTCCACTAATCCCGTGGCTTTGGTTGGCTTTTATCTCAGGCTTATTTAGTCCCGTCACTAGATGGTTGCAACAGGTCTAAGCATGTCCTTGCCTAACAATATTCAAAGGCTGGAAGAAGGAAAAAGGGCATCCTTCCCTAAATCCCTTTGGAAGAGCAAAGACAACTTTTCCAGAAGCCACCTTAGACTTCCTCTCATATTTCATTGGGCAGAACTGCATCACATGCCTATTCCTAAATCAATCATGATGGGAGAATGCCATTATCATTATTAGCTTCAGCCTTCCGAAAAAGAATTTCTGGATTCTGGGGCACCTGGATGGCTCAGTCGGTTGAGTGTCCAACTCCTGATTTCAGCTCAGGTCATGATCTCAGGGTCACGAGATTGAGCCCCGCATCAGGCGTGGAGCCTGCTTGCGATAATCTCTCTCTCCCTCTTTCTCTGCCCCTCCCCCCACTGCTCAAGTTCTCTCTCTCTCTAAAACAATTTTAAAAATAAAATAAAAAAGAATTTCTGGATTCTATTTATAAGGAATGTGGATCAAAGGACTGAAAGAGAGGCAGGAACTGTGTCTGCCATGTGGAGGAGCCCCCAGCTGGGAGCTGTACCACAGTCACCTTCCTATGTGTGGATATGGGTGTCTGGGAGCTGCATGGAGGCTGCGTAATCACAGAACTCTTCCTACCAGATGTGGGATTTTATGGCAAGACACTCCCTTTAAGCCCTAATTGGTTGCTGGTTGATTTAATTTGGAGATGCCATTTACTGGTGTATTAGTTAATACTCTTTTGGTTGCAAAGAACAGAAACCAACATAAACTAGGTTAATCAATTTGTTTGCATAATGAAAAATCAGGAGGTTGGTTTTATTTCAAGGATTATTGGATCCAAGAGGTCAGTTGATGTCTTTTACTATTACAGTGCTCTCCAGCTTTGAAGAGTGTTTTCCTTGGTGTTGGCATTTTTCTCAGAAAGGCACCCTTTCTTGCTCAAGATTCCCATCCCACAAGGTTAACAGGTGGAAACAAGACAAGCAAAGTCCTAGTTCCCATAGAGCTTTCTTTCTAGTGGGGTGGTCTAAAGCAAAACATACTCCTATGTGTTTCTTCTACTCTCAGTCCTTGAACACTACTTCACTTCTGACACCAGACATGTGGGTTTCCCACACATTAATTCTTTGACACCAGCTAGCTGTCCTGCAATTTAACTCAATTCTGACACCAGCTAGCTGTCCTGCAATTTAACTCAAATAAACAAATAAAATCAGATACTGGAAATAGTATCTGATCTTGCAGTTTCAAGGCTCCATCTCACGAGACTACCCCCCCTCTCAAACCACTTCAGATCCCAATCACAAGTCCTGGTTATTACCTGTGCTTCTGACCCACCACCTATACATCAGAGATTCCCACAGCACCTTCCTTAGGTTCCATTAATTTGTTAGAGCAACTCACAGAACTCAGGAAACCAGTTTACTTACTAGATCATTGGCTTGTTACAAAGGATTTTAAGGATACAAACCAATAGCCAAATGAAGAGATACACAGGGCAAGATCCAGAAGTGTCTCAAGTACAAGAGCTTCTGTCGCCACGGAGTTTGGAGTGTGTCATCCTCCCAGCATTGGGTGGGTTCTTGTTCTCTAACCGAGAAGCTCTCCAAATTCTGTCCTTTTGGGGTTTTATGGAGGCTTCATTTCTTAGGCATGGTTGATTGAATTCAATCTCCAGCCCCTCTCCCCTCCCTGGGGGTCGGGGAGGGGGGGACCAGGGCGGTGGGGAGGAATGAAAGTTCCAGTCCTCTAAACACAATGTTGGTTCCCCTGACAGACAGCCAGCGTCCTTAGGTGCTTTCCAAAATTTACCTCATCAACATAAACTCAGGTGTGGTTGAAAGGTTTTGTTATGAATAACAACTTTATCACTCTTATCACTTAGGAGATTCCAAGGGTTTTAGCTCTGTGCCAGAAATGGGACACAGACCAAAAATACATTTCTAATTATAAATCACAATATTAAAGTTGGGAAGGAGCCAGAGAAATATGTAAGCAAATATATAAATTAATTAATAAGCTGAAATGTTTCCAGATAGAATACTATTAAGCAAATAAAGCAGGAGAATATTATTGGCTGGGAGGAAGATGGTGATACATGAGGTGATGAGGAAAACAGTCATTTTTTTTGTGACGGTGGAGCTGGGAAATGATCAGAAGGAGCCAGCCATATGAAGCGCTGGGTGTTGCAAGAACAGCAAGTACGAAGGTTCTGAGACAAACATAAACTTCTTGTGTTTGAAGAACAAACAAAAGACAAGGGTGACTGAGCTGAGTTTAAAGAACTAAGAGGTGTTAGCCAGACTTGGAGATGGAGAGGGGGGATAATCGTAATTTATTTTAGGCAAAGAGAATAGTAGCAAGCAGGGGAACCATAACTTTAAGCAGTACACTCAATGTCAACCAAGTTTTCGATGCTTATTATGACATACTCAGAATGCCAGTTTCAACAATGGTTGCCTGGAAAAGTGCAGGCAAATAAAATATGTAATCAAGAATATGGAATGCCGGGCGCCTGGGTGGCTCAGTCGTTAAGCGGCTGCCTTCGGCTCAGGTCATGATCCCAGGGTCCTGGGATCGAGTCCCACATCAGGCTCCCTGCTCAGTGGGAAGCCTGCTTCTCCCTCTCCCACTCCTCCTGCTTGTGTTCCTGCTCTCGCTGTCTCTGTCAAATAAATAAATAAAATCTTAAAAAAAAAAAAGAATATGGAATTGCAATTCACAAACATGTTTAAAAATATATTTTTGAAAATATCTTTGATGCATGCAGGCATGTCCTGTCCAGGATTGATGTGTTTATGTGGGGAAAGTACAGAGAGCTCTAACTTTCAGGGCTTCCAACTGAGCAAAGGAAATGCTACTATGCAAAAGTTGTTTTAAAATAATAACTGTTTGGGGCGCCTGGGTGGCTCAGTCAGTTAAGCGTCCAATTCTTGGTTTCCGCTCAGGTCACGATCTGAGAGCAAGCCCTGAGTCAGGCTGTGCTCCTTGCTCACTGGGGAGTCTGCATGAAAGATTCTCTCTCTCCCTCTGCCCTTTCCCCGACTTGCTTGTGCGGGCACATGCGCCCCCTCTCTCTCCAATAAATAACTCTTAAAAAAATAAAATAAAATAGTAACTGTTTATGTTCCAGAATACCCTTACTCTCAAAATGAGAGTCCTAAATTGTAGCAAATGTTAAAATAAAGAATAATTAAGGGTCAATATGCCCAGAATGGTTATCAACATTGTTACTGAAAACTGAATATTTAAGAAAAAGGCAGGAAGAAATAAAAAAGTTTGGTTGCCATTTTTAAATATTGGCTTGAGGGGAGCCTGGGTGGCTCAGTTGTTAAGTGTCTGCCTTCGGCTCAGGTCATGATCCCAGGGTCCTGGGATTGAGCCACACATTGAGTCCTGCATCAAGCCCCACATCGAGCCCTGCATCGGGCTCCCTGCTCAGTGGGAAGCCTGCTTCTTCCTCTCCCACTCCCCCTGTTTGTGTTCGCTCTCTCGCTGTGTCTCTCTCAAATAAACAAATAAAATCTTTAAATATTGGCTTGAGGCTCAGTTTCTGAACACAGAAAGGGATGTTAAATTACTGTACCCACATACTGAATGCTTCTAGTTTAAAAAGTAGAAAAAATATGATATAATGAGCATGAGAACGTCAATATTTCTTGTTTTAACTATTTTCTTACTTGATTCTCCTACTTGGGACCAAGATTTATTGTGGTATTAATTTTGGTTTTGTGGACTTTAATTTTTATATATATATAAAGATTTATTTATTTTAGAGAGAGTGTGTGCATGACCCTGAGATCATGACCTGAGCAGAAATCAAGAATCAGATGCTTAATCAACTGAGCCACCCAGGTGCCCCTGGGCTTTAATTCTTGATAAGTTGAATTTTGTGTTTGATCTCTCCGGTGATAATAAAAGCACTATAGAATATGAAACTGTTAAGTATGACCTATTTTAATACATAAAACTATTTGGTTATTTGCCCTACTGCCAAAGATTGTTGTAGTACACATTTGTCGCTTTTTCTCTTACTTTCTTCGCATGTGGACCTCTTTCCCATATTTAAGGAAATCCCCATGAATTCTTTTCCTCCCACAATCAGATGAAAACAGCAGATATTTGCTTTCCCAGATCACCTAATGAGGAGAAAGCATGTGACCTGGATTTAGCCTCTCAGATGCATCCACCTGGGTCTTCGAATCTGAAGTTAGTGCTGCAAAGAAGCAATGCAAGGAGAGAATTCTTTCTGACAGTGGCTGCACCACCCATTTTCTGGGGGCCAAAGGCCAGAAGTGTGCTCAAGAGCAGTGATGCAAGCCACGACCCTTGCACCCATGCAGCGGGCACATCAGGCCCCTCCTGACGGGCGAGGCTCCTTTCGTTTCTGTCCATTTTCCAATCCTGCTTTTTTAGCCTTCCCTGAAGGTCTCCAAGACGCACCCTATCGTTGCAGTAAATCCCTTTTCTGTTTAAACCCAGCCAGAACTGGTGTCGGATACAACGGCTGACTTTCTATGGTTGTACTTTGCTGAATTAATTGTACTTTGCTGAATTTAGGTTTTAAAAAAACCTCTGAAGTTATTTCATTCTCTGTGTTGTTATCGGGAGATTTATGAGTGTGGGATTTTAACTGATAGGTGTTTTAATCCAACTGTGTCTGTGTCTTTTTAAAATTGGTCCTTGTGAAACTCAGAAAGATTACACAAAGATGGTGTAGCCCTTGTTGAGGTTGGGGGGATGGCATGTGGAGGGTATGACTATATAATTCTCCTGGCCTCTCCGTACCCACTTACTGTCCCCTCCCCTGACAGGAAGGAGTGACTTAAACCTAACTAGAGGCTTTGAAAGAAGACACTAGGGATATACTGCCCCCTTCCTGTTAAGATCCGCGTACCTGCAGAAAGAGGGTGCTCCCGGCGGTTCTTCACCAGGTAGGAACGGTGCACTGTCAGCCTGGCCCTTCTGAAAAAGGCCTGCCCTGGCCCGCCACAGGTTCTGCTAGGATTTTTACCACTCCTTTATTTGCTTGCCCACGAAATTTTGTTCCTTTTGTCTCTTTTTCGAAGCTTTCTATTTTTATGGATGTATGGCTTTTGAGAAAGCCCCCATGTGATCATATTAGTCAGTTTTCACTAGGAAGCAAATGTCATGTTGCTTCATTCATATCTGTACTTGGAAGTCTCCGTCCTGGTTTTGGTGGCCGCTCTGCTAAAGGAGCAAGCTCACCAGCTCTCAGCCTCGACCGTTGCTATGGGTCCAAGCTGCCAACACATCTCAAAATCTTGGGGGTCCCACCACAGCTGCACCTCAGTTGAGGTAAGATGGTCAAAGCACACCTCTGTCCAAAGGAATTCTCCTCACTAAATGGTCTTTTGAGTACTCCTCTTTCAACTTGTTCTCTCAGTCAGGGTTCAACCAGGGAAACAACCAATAGGGGATACATATTAAGAAATTTATTGCAAGCGTTGACTTACATGACTGTGGAGGCAAATTCATAGGGCAGGCTGTCCAGAAGGGCAGGCTGGAAATCTCTGGCCGCAGCCAAAGCTGCACCCCACAAGCGAAACTTCTTTTTCTTCGGAGAAACCTCAGCTCTGCTCTTAAAGCCTTTCAACTTTAGTTGACTGAATCAGGCCCACACAGATTACCTAGATAATCTCACTTAAAGTCAACTGATTTTGGGATTGGGTTTTTTTTTTTTTTTCAAAGACTTATTTTTTTATTTCAGAGAGAGAGAGCATGAGCAGGAAGGGCAGAGGGAGAGGGAGAAAGAATCTCAAGCAGACGCTGAGCCCCACATGGAACTCGATCTCACGACCCGGAGATCACAGCCTGAGCCAAAACCAAGAGTCAGATGCTTAACCGACCGACCGTGCCACCCGGGTGCCCGACTTTGGATTTTAATTACACCTACAAAAGACCTTCTCAGCAACACCTAGATTTCTGTTTGATTGAGTGACTGGGGACTGTAGTCTGGCCCTACTGACACATAAAGTTGGCCATGACAGCCTTATTATGGGGTGGGTATTTTTAGAATTGTGAAACTAGTGTTTGAGCCTTTCCTTTGAAAATCTCCAACTTATTCTAGCGCTCATTTTGGAATTTTGTGTCTATTATACCAATTTAATTTCCTTAAGTACCCTCTTGATGCTCAGCATGAGAGAATATTCCAGACCAATGAGCCTCTTATTTGTAGTTTCCTGACCCTCCCAGCCTCACCCTCATCTTGCTGCATAACTCACTTCTCATCATATAACCGGCTAGGCTTGTATCGGTCCACTTAAGCCCCATGCCCTCTGGGTCCCTACGCTGGAAGTAAAGTGTGGCTCTAACCTTACTCCTCTGTAGTGACAGACACCACGCCAGGGGAAGTCCCACATCTTCATTCCCCGTGGCACAAATTGGGCATCCTTATTCCTTTTTTTTTTTTTAAGATTTTATTTATTTATCTGACAGAGAGAGACCCAGCGAGAGAGGGAACACAAGCAGGGGGAGAGGGAGAGGGAGAAGCAGGCTTCCCGCTGAGCAGGGAGCCCGACGCGGGGCCCGATCCCAGGACCCTGGGACCACGATCTGAGCCGAAGGCAGACACTTAACGACTGAGCCACCCAGGCGCCTCTGGGCATCCCATATTCCTTACAGAATTAAATACCAAAGCCACGGTCACTGAAAGCCCTTCATCAAACTATTCTAGTCTATTGAAGAATCTTCTTACCAAACCCAATGGTTTGTTTTTCCTCAAATGCAGACTATCCTTTTCCACATTTCTGACGTGGCTCGTGCTCTTCTGTTCCCTATGTCTCGCCCACTCCCCACCTCTGCCCTCAACTCCCCCTACCAAGATCAGCCATCCTTCCAAGTCCACCACAGGTGAAAGCCCCTCCATGAATCTTTTCTTGATAGGCTCAGTTGGATGTCATGCCTCCCTCCTCACAGCCTTATACTACTTATGGCACATACATTATTCTTGCTTCTATTGTATTTATTCCACATATGGGTGTTATTTTCTACCCATCCCTAGAGTGGAAGCTCCCTGGGAGCAGACACAGTTCTGGCTCATGTTTCTATTGCCTCCAACATCTAGCACAATGCTTTGCCCAAAGTAGCTACTTAATAACTATTTCTGATATGAATGTAGTTGATCTGGGTTGTTATTTCTCTAACAAGTTCGTGTAAGGAACTGCACATACAACGTCTGAATTAGGAAACCTGATTTTGAGCTTAACCCTGTTAACTTTATTTTTTCTGGCCCTCATCTTTAAAATGAGAGGTGTAGGCCTGATGATTTTCAGAGTTCCTGCTGTGATGTTCTTAACTTCTAAGATTTTTTTGGTGCCTAGAAGGAGAATGCTGGGTTGTTTTCAGAGTTCCTCAAAGAAATAATCTTTGCTCAAAGGAAACAAGATACGCTCTTTAAGGTGACAAAGTTCGAGTGGCTGAGATGATGGTGGGTTGGTTGCCCTGACCTGCCCTGTCTTGCCCTGGCCAGGGTGGCATGCTATCGACGCCCACAAATCAGGGAACAGGAAAACTGGTCAGATGTGCTAGGATGACAACAGGTGACATGGGAGCAAATGAAGGGCAAGGAGAGAAATTGAACACACTATCTCAAAGAGAGGTGAGTGAACTGGAATTTCCAAGCCTTAAGGAAAGAGAAGGAAGCGATATCAATGAGTGAAATCAAAGCAAAAAAAAATTTGAAAAGTCTTTGGAGGGAAAAGTGAGAATTTGGTTAAGAAAATCTTACTTTTCTAATTGTTAAAAATATACTTTTAATTTAGATGAGTTTTAAGTTTACAGCAAAATGCAAATATTGTACAGAGTTCTCCTGTACCCCGCACCCAGATTCCCCTATTGTTAATGTCCTACATATGGTACATTTGTCACAACTAATAAATCAATATTGATACATTATCATGAACTAATTTAGATTTCCTCAGCTTTTCTTTTTCTCTTCAGCATCCCATCCATGATACCACATTACATTATTATGTTGCCTTAGGCTCTGACGGTTTCTCAGACTTTTCCTGTTTTGTTTTTGCTTTTAAATATTTTATCTTTCAGTTTAATTGAGATATAACTGGCATAGAGCACTGTATAAGTTTAAAGTGTACATCATAATGACTTGACTGACATATACTATGAAATGATGACCACAATAAGTTCAGTTAATACCATCATCTTGTATAGAAAGAAAGAAAGAAAGAAAGAAAGAAAGAAAGAAAGAAAGAAAGA